CATAAAAGATTTTCCCCTTTGACAAGTCTTATTGTAGCACATCATTGTAGTGTGAAACTATCACCAGAAGGTGGTGGTAACACACCTACAACGTGTTTCTTGACCTCTTTGATTCCACTAATGGAGGCAGTTTCAGTTTGTTCCACGACTGCATTTCACTCACTGCCTCTGTTTGTATCTCTGTCACTGCAGGACCAACATGGAGCGATAAGTGAGCGCTCTCAGGAGGCCGACAAACCTCACAGAAGAAAGGGGGAGAAGAAACACACCTGTGACGAGTGTGGGAAGAATTTTACCCGGCCTCAACACCTGAAAACACACCAACTCATCCACAGTGGAATTAAAGCGTACAGCTGTGACTTGTGTGGAAAATCTTTTTCCCGAGCTCCATACCTGAAAGCACACCAACTTTACCACAGTGGAGTTAAACCCTACAACTGTGATTTGTGTGGAAAATCGTTTACCCGGCCTCAACACCTGAAAACACACCAACTCCTCCACAGAGGAATTAAAGCGTACCCCTGTGACTTGTGTGGAAAATCTTTTTCCCGGGCTCAATACCTGAAAGCACACCAACTTATCCACAGTGCAGTTAAACCCTACAACTGTGAGTTGTGTGGAAAAAATTTTTCCCAGCCTGGAAGCTTAAAAACACACCAACTCATCCACAGTGGAATTAAACCGTACAGCTGTGACTTGTGTGGAAAATCTTTTACCTGGGCTAAAACCTTAAAAACACACCAACTCATCCACAGTGGAATTACAGCGTACAGCTGTGACTTGTGTGGAAAATCTTTTATCCAGGCTGAACACCTGAAAACACACCAACTCATCCACAGTGGAATTAAACCGTACAGCTGTGAGTTGTGTGGAAGATCTTTTACTGATCCTGGAGGCTTAAAAAGACACCAACTCGTCCACATTGGAGTTAAAGCGTACAGCTGTGATCAGTGTGGTAAAGCTTTTGCTCACAGTACGTACTTACAGCGTCATCAAGTTACCCACTCTGGAAGTAAAGCGTACCCCTGTGATTTTTGTGGAAAAACATTCCGCCGTATAGAGTCACGAAATATACACTTACGCAGTCACACTGGACATAATGTTTATTTCTGTGATCAGTGTGGAAAACTATTTACAAGAGATGTACAGTTACAACAACACATGTTTACCCACAATGAGGAGAGACCTTATAAATGTGACCTGTGTGATAAGACTTTCAAATCTCCACGTTACCTGAGACTACACCAAAAGATCCACACCAGAAAGTAACTCTACAAGTGCAGTTACTGTGAGGTATGCATTTATATTATTATCTTCTTATATTAGACTGAGTGTTTGGAACAAGTCAGATCAGTAAACTTATGAAGTTATATTGGATGAATTGATTGAAAAAATGCGTTATTTTCGTCCAGTAAGCTGAGTGTTATTAGTAGAAGCAAGTATCCCAGTTGTTATAGGTTAATAAGACTTAGGCTCACCTTTTCTCTAATCAAAATAAAAAAAGTAAACAGAAAACAAAGAAACAAAAACATAAGAAGAAGAACTTTATTTATGAAGTGCTTTCAGACAAAGTTCTGTACAGCTATTTAAAAATAAAGAAATAAATAAAAGTGATGCATGGCAATAAAAGTTAAAAACAATAATTAAGATGTGTAGGATAGGGTGAAGTAGTGGGTCTTCAACTTAGCTTTAAAAACCTCCACAGAGCCTCCACTAATATCTTGAGTGAGGTTGTTCCACAAAAACGGGGCAGGAAAAGAAAAAGCACGCTCCCCCAATAGTTATTTTTCTGGCTCTAGGAACTTTTGAATGACCAGAATCCTGGGATCGGAGAGCATGGGATGGAACATAAGGGTTCAAAAGATCAGAGAGGTATGAAGGTGCCAAACCATTTAAAGCCTTGTAGGTGAGCAGCAGGACCTTAAAATCTGTCGAACCTCACAAGGTAGCCAATGAAGTGATTTCAATGCAGGGGTATTGTGCTCAAATGTTCCAGTTTTAGTTCAAATGTGAGCAGCTGCATTTTGCACCATCTGTAAACCTCTAAAACCTTTCTTTGGTAGCCCAGAAAGGAGAGCGTTGCCATAATCGATACGTGAAGACACAAATGCGTGGAGAAGAACCTCTGCAGTGTAGTTTGATAAAACTTGTCTGATTTTAGCTATGTTCCTCAAATGACAAAAGGCGGTCTTTGTTGTCTCTTTTACATGAGACTCGAAGGAGAGCGCCATGTCGAACCACACGCCCAAGTTTTTAACCTTGTCCCTGCAATTTATGACATAGTCATCAATTTTCAAGATTCAATTCAATTTTATTTATATAACGCCAAATCACAACAACAGTCGCCTCAAGGTGTTTTATATTGTACAGTAGATTCTACAATAATAGATACAGAGAAAATCCCAACAATCATATGACCCCCTATGAGCAAGCACTTTGGCGACAGTGGGAAGGAAAAACTGGTACTGTAGAAAACTTATACAGTACCAGTGCTTGTTGCTGTTCCTCTACATCAAATACATTAAATTGGGAGATGCTCTTTGTTTCAGGCGATGTTCAGGATAAAAATGTTGAAGGAATTCCCTGACTTACTGTGTTTGTGTCTTTGTTTAGAAGCAGAGCGACACAGATGGATTCAATTCTTAACCCTGTCGTCACTGTGGTGGGAAAGAGTTTCACTGTGACCTTTGTGGAAAAACTTTCAATTACCAGAAAGCCTGAAAATACATCAGCGTAGACACACTGGAGACAAAATGAACTACTGCAAAGAGTGTGAGAGAAGCTTTCCCACACTGAGTGAATTACAAAAAACACGAACTCTGTAACAGTGGGGTTAAAAAGCACGTCTGTGACCAATGTGGGTCATCCTTCACCACTATTAGCCAGCTTAAGAGACATGAACAAATCCACACAGGAGAGAAACCATACACTGTGACAGAAGCTTCTCACATTCAGCTCATCTTAACACCAATAGCTACATCTGTGTCCAGTGTGACAAAATCCTCAGGAATCTACGTTCATATTCCAAATACAAACGATCCCACACTGCAAATAAACTGTTTCACTGTTACCAGTGTGCAAAAAACATGTACTTACATAAACATCTCTTTTTGGCAAATACTGGACATCTGTTTTTGGCAGACCATAACTTTGGCACAACACCAGCACCCTGGACTTGTGATGTCAAGTTAAATTAATGCCTCATGTTGGTACCTGGTAATGTTTATGTGAGCTTCCCTGTCAGAAACACCCCAGGATGATGCTTGCTAAGCGAATAGCTTTTCAGTCTTGTTAGCCAACGAGTGAAATGCGACAGCAAACTATAAAACAAGAGAAGCGACATCGTCTCTTAGTTTGTTTGTCCACCCCCCCATCCCCCAAATTTGCGTGTTGGACCACATAAGTATTTAACTATATATGTAATCAGTTAAACTGTGTAATTGACATAAAGACCTCATGATATACAACAATTCTGTTTTGTTCAGTTTTACTGTAATTAAGCACAGTTGTATATATGATCCTGTAAAGAGCCTCATGCACGTCTCACATGGCTGTAGTCGTGACAGAGCTTTAGCATGGTTATCAGCAGCTAGGAACATCATCCTAAAGATGAGACCAGCTCCAGGGCGACATGCAATTGTGAATTTATGAACTGAATCATCTGTAAACGTTGGGAACTTGTTTTGGACTGGAAAATAAAATATTTTTGATTTAATTTGAATCTTTATTTAAACGTACGCCAGAGACCATTTTTAATTTCCTGTTTGCAAACTTGTTTTTGTTTAAATACTACTGGAACTTTAATCTGTATTACTTAATATTCTTATTTATTTCATCTTTATTCGGACAATGAGTAATGTTAAAAATACATTTGATTTTTTTTCTAATTCAATTCCTAGGTCATTATTTTAATCTGCTGTGGGACGAGACAACAGGCTGATATTGGGTGTTGTTTTTGATTAAGCTTTTACTTTGGAGCGAAATTTAAATAAGACAGTAAGAACCCGCTTTGTTCATTTAAGGAACATCTCAAAACCTAGATTAATGGTGTCAATGAGTGAACTTGAGATGATATCCATGCTTTTGTCTACAAGACTCAACTATTTAGTTGTCTCAACAGGAAAGGGCTGGCTCATCTTCGGGTTGTGCAAAACTCTGCAATGAGACAATTGGAGCCCATATAACTCCCGTTTTAAAGTCACTACACTGGCTTCATTTTAAAATTCTAGTTTTAAACTTTAGAGCCCTTTCCTTTATTGCTGATTTGATTTGTATACACAACTCTTCTCATAACCTGAGGTCATGGAATCAAAACCTTTTAGTGGTCCCCCACACTTGTGTCAGAACTCGAAGGGACCAATCTTTCCAATCTGTTGCACAGAGACTGTGGAATGCACTTCCTCTATTTCTACAGTTCCTGAAGACCTTCAAAAAGCAGCTAAAGACATTTTTATTTCAAAAAGCAAAAACAGATTATCCTTCTCAAGCCATTTCCAGGCCTGAAGATCCTCTTCTTTTCAGTCTGGGGATCTGACCAGGGTGTACCCTATCTCTTGCCCTCTTACAGCTTTAATAGACTCCAAAATTGCAACATGTATTTATGGTCATGAGCAGTGATGGGAATAATGGCATTAAAATAAACAGTGGTACTAACACCAGTACTTGTTTTCAGTGACTAGTAACTTAACTAATTGCTTTTTCTGCCATTACAACACCGTTACTAGCAAGAAAAAGCGGTGAAGGTGTGTTCCAGTTTGTCAACACACAGACGGTTGAAGCTGTCTTCTTCTTACCGTGAGCTAAGGGAGCAAACAATCACACGAATGCTGCCACAGTTTTCTACCAAGTCCTCAGAGAGCTGTGTGGACCTCAAGTCTGGATCATCCTGAGACAACAAATCTGAACCCAAACTCCAGTTATCTATGTATGTGCATGTATCCAGTTCAGAGCTGTGGGGTGGTGGAGTCTGCAGCTGTCACAGGTATAGGCTATGAAAGTGAATGAAGATGTTGTCCTAGATACCAGCTCATTTTGGTGGAAATTGAATAATTTTGCGAGAAGGCTTAAGCAGGTCAACAGCAAGGGGAGGAAGATGGTTTTTCAGGATTCAAAGCAATGCAGGAGAAACTGGAGGAGAGGAGACACTCACATGAAGACACACTGGATTAAAGAAAGAAGCACAAAAGCTCAGATATCTGAAACCGATTCAAAACCCCAGAGAGCTCAAACTTTAACCACCACCTGTTGGTGGCGATAATGCACCTAGTGGTTGTTGAAGACAGTCTGTGCAGTAGTTGTCACTGTCACTACCCGATCCGTACCGGAAACCCGATCGGTACTCCGCATGTGCGAAATGTGTCTACGTCCAGTCGAAGCGCTTTACGATAGTTACGGGTCAGAGTATCTGTTAAGCTATGCAAGGATCTAGAGATTTCAGACCTACCATTTATTAGCTCAAACATCAAAAGACATGAATGCTTTAAAAGTATCAACATCAGCTTTTCTCT